TTGGGGATGTTCACAGGATACAGCAAGCAGCGTTGGCACCGAGAGGCACAGAGGAGGAAGACGGGGGTGGCAGAGCGCTGGAGTTGGCAAGAGGAACTCAGCACGGCTATCGGCCTGCTCTGCTGGGCGGTACTGGGCTTGCCACTCCTTTGAGTGAGGGTGAAGGGCAGCTTTCTCACCTCCTCCTTGATATCTGCCCACTGCCAGGCAGAGGCAGCTCCCTCCCCAGGCAGGTGAGAGTCCCACACGGAAGTCAAGTCCCCGCTTGGTTCACGTGAGACCTCAGGCAGAGGAGCTGGGGAAGGAAACCACACTCTGCAAGCGAAGGAAACCACACTCTGTGGCGAAACCCCAGGAGCCTCGCAGCTTGTCCCGCCTGCGGCCTCAGCTACACCATCGGTCCGACAGACAGCTCCTGAGAGATCTGCCCGGAGGAGCAGAAGGAGAGAGGGGGAAAGAGAAAGGCTCTCCACCATGCAGGTAGGAAACAGAAACTGCTCAGCTATTTCCAAGAGGTTGCTTTTCAGCACCTCTGAGCCACCCGTAGCTTGGAAACATGGGACACTCTAAGCTCCAGTCTCTACCACTCATGTGCTTTCAGCCTTTAAAGTACTCAAAATGTACTACAAAACTCCCGTTCCTCTTTCCAGCAAGAAATCTCATTCCTACCATGAACGTGCAACGGGGAAAGCGGTGTGTGCTGCTGGCTCTGCAGTTTCCTGCAACCGGGCAGCAAGGCAGAGCTGAGCCCCATGTACCACCCCAAGGTGCTGCGGGCTCAGGCCAGCAGGGTCACGCATGGTCCCAGATGTTGGTACCAGAGTTCAGAGGTGCCAGAGCACTGATCAGAGAAGGATGGTTTGGGCTGAGACCAGATCTTTTCCTTGTATAAACCCAGGCACTGCATATAGCAGCGGAGGTGACAGCCCCAGACGTTTCAGGAGCACCTGAAATAGAGCAAGGGGAGAGGGGGAGCTGTGAAGTTTTGTTTCTCTAGCTTGAAAGAAAAGATGCAGTTTTCTTTTATTCAAAAAGCCAGGCAAACTCTCTAAGATTGGAGCAGCTAGTAAATGTACAGGTGCACCATCTGCCTGTTCAATTACAGATTGTCCCATTTCTTAGGAAACTATGAGGTAAGGTGGAAGTGCTGTAAGCGAGGCATTTGTGAGAAACATCCCTGACATACTAGCAGTTTGATCATCTCAGTGTGGGTGATGGGAACCACCCAAACCCTCACCAATCCCCAATTAGAAAGGAAAACAAGGATGCCGGATCCTATCCAGGTCCTTTGCCCGAGTTACTCACGCAGGTGATTACACCTCCAGCCCAAGGGTGCCTGCTACCATTTCTCTGAAGGATCCAGTAACGTCACACAGGGCAGTGGGTTGCCTGGCTTGCGACAAGGGCACAAGGGCCAGCTGATATAGCTGGAGAGAAACCAGGCACACTCACTTTTTAACACTGAAAATTACTGCTTCTCATTGTGCAGATTACTTCTACACCTTTGCCCAGCGCACCTCCATCCCGCCTCCAAACACGGGGCAGGAAAGAGCTAAACAGGCACCCTCCTCCTTGATAGCAGGGATTAGAGCCCAGGGTTTAAACAACCACTTCAGAGCCAGGGTGGCCTTCCCTGCACGCGGGGCCGATCTGACTGCCCTGTGCTTGCTGCCAGAGCAAAGCAGCCATAATCTGACAGTGTCGCTAGTCCCCAGGGACAAAAAAAATGGGCCACATCTGGCCCCAAAAGCAGGCTGGGCTCCGGCACAATAGTCCCAGCAGCCAAGGCTTAAAGCAGCCTTTGCCTCATGAGGATGCCAGCAGCCACCGTAATGAATTAAGCCTGCTGA